CAATCATCCTGTTTATGCTTTACCTTTTTTTATTTTTTTGAAAGACAGTCTGACTGTCAGCCTTTCCCACAGCGCTTCCCCGCTGTACAAGGAGACAGTAAAGGCTGAGTTTTATAGTCGCGCTTTGGAACGCGCGCGAAGTGGGCGCAGAGTGCGTGCGCATTTGGCCGTGCGGCGTCGCGCTATGACCGCAGGAGAAACAAGGTCCAGACTCAGCGAGCTTTTGTGCATCCTGGAGAGCTTTTGTGCGTCCTGGAGCACTGACTTCACCTGCACTGACAGTCGCCTCGCTGCGTCATGTGCCGCGGCGCGCGCTCCTCCCACAGCAGGTAGTGTGGTCGTTCGGCATCCAACCGGAGGACGCGCCGTCACGTAAACATGTAAACAGTTCGGCGTTCATTTTCACACACCCGAACCAGGTCCGGTTAAGTTATGTTTTTTCCCCCTCTTCCTTTGCGCTCTCAGCCACGCTGCTTCCCGCTTCCTCTGTTTTGACTCCAGCCGGTTACATCATCAAAAAGATATGCTCGGCTGGCCGGTAGACTACAGATCTCTATCATAGGACAAATTTATATCGTTTCTACCGTATATCGTTTATCGCGCATCCCTACTCTGAATCTGTCAAATTAATAGCAAACAGTATTAAAAAAAGGTTTATCATGATGGATTTTATTGGAGGGTACGCACAAACCTGAACCACACAAATACAGGCCACATGGGCGCGATGCGCGTGGCACACAAAAACATCAGCTTGGCACGGCGCCAGGTCCTGACCGACAGTCACAGGAGCGCGATGCGCATCTGAACCACAGGCCCAAAGCGTGCACACACATTTGTCCCGCTTTTGACTCGTCACACTACGAAAAGTCAAAGAAAGAAAAAAAAAAACTCGACAAGCTATTTAGGGGCTGCAGTTTACATCACATCCTTATTTCTGTCTGCGTCCTTTGCAGGAAGGAGAGAGGAAGGCAGAACAGCATCAGACAATCACAACGCGCTGCGGCCACTGCGTTAAAACAATTATTAAACAAAAACAGGGCAAGAATATGGATCTGATTTATGCAGACTGTAGTGGAAACTACGTCAAAATGCAGCAAAACAGAGACTGAGAAAAAGGTGAGGTCGGTGATATTCAGGGTTATTTTTCCTTTTTTTGGAGCAACAAGAAACCCTCAGCTCAGAACACATTTTGCTCAAACTCAAAAAAGATGAGGGTCTGACTGAAACCAGGTGGTTACAGTTACCTGTGGCTGAGAGCTGCTGGCTGAGCTGGGCTCTTGCAAGAGAGGTGTAGCTGCGGGGGTGAAGGCAGAGAGAAACTAGCTTTGTCCGCGGGAGGAGAGATATCCTGGCTCCGGTGCTGTCAGTTACATCCAGAAGACGAGGCAAAGCGATGGCACTTTATTTCGTAACCGTTTCCACAAGATTTAACCGTTAAAAAGTTTGCTCACTCATGTTTAGTTAGCTTCACCACACTGTCACATTAAGGAAAAAACACCAGGGCAGCCGCAAAATAAAAAAAATAAACTAACCAATTAGGCATACTTTAGTTTCGGACGCATGTGCTCACCCCCACAGATGCACACAGATGAATGTACAGGAAATATTGACAAAAGACAATTTCTTATTTTATTTTGTCCACCATTTTTGTAATAATAAAGAGTTAAAAATCATTAAAAAGTCAAATGCATATAAAAACTTTTTATTTTATTTAAAAGGATAATCTCCCATTTGCATTTTACGGAGCCCGCGAGGGGACATGGGAGATTATTTTTCTTTTGTGTTCCCACGCACAGGTATTGCGTTACCTTGCAATACCTTTTGCGTTCCCTCGAAAAGTAGTTTTTCACTGTTGTGCCTACCAGTTTATTAACAAACTCACATGTTTACCATTAGCAAGTTAGCCTACTGCTTTAATTCAGCTTCAGAATGAATATATCACAAAACTACGCATGGAAGTTTGTCATATGCCGATATTTTAACACAGTGCAGCCACGCAACATCAATGTCAATTTCAAGAACTTGTGGCGACACATCCTGTTTTGGTAGCCGGATATTTCAAAATAAAAGTCTGATTTAATTCAGTTCATATTCAAAACAAACTTTTACGTGGGAACGCAAAACAATATTGCGAGGTAACACAAAAGTATTGCGTGGGAACGCAAAAGGAAAAAAGTCCCGCATGTCCCCTCGCGGGCTCCGTAGCATTTGACTCCATTCAATCAGACTTCCTTCAACTGAAGCTCATTGTTAATACAGAAATAGCAAAGACCATGCAGTTTGCAAATTAAGAGAAAGTGCCCCAAACCTCACCACCTATCAGGTCTCCTAATGGCTCAGCCATAAAGTTTGTAGAAACTTAAAAATATCTTGGCGTTGTCATTGATCAAAAGCTTTCATTCAAATATCACATTGACCGCATTTTGAAAAAACTGAAGTTAAAACTAGGATTCTTTTTCAGAAAATCTCACGGCTGCACAGTGCATACAGCCGTACAGCTGCAGGTGCCACTGAGCACTGCCTGTAGGAGATTCCCTGATTTCTCCAGGCCTCCACAATTACCTGTAATCCTCTGCAATGGCAGCCAGCAGCTTCCTGCAGGTGCGCGCATCGAAGCGGCTGACGCAGCGCGTGGTCTCTTGGATCTGAGCGATTTGGTTCTTATCTTGAAGGTTGATGGCTTCTGCTAGCTGGACCTTTAGGAAACAGACAATCTCATTGTCTGTAAAAAAGGAGACAAAAAAAGAGACGGGACTGAACAACTTGCTGCTAACTAACAAACAAACAAATAAATAAATAAATAAAAATCAGCTGGTGGTGTGTAAACAATCCTCCCAAATCACTTCACAATGACTGATGACTACAGACGATTGAGACTTTTGGATTAGAGTTTAGATTTTACTATGACTGCAGCTATGGATCAGCAAACAGAATTAAAGCGGCACGATATCATTTGAGCATCGTCAGAGCAATGTACGTGTGCGCAACAGTCACAACCATGGTAAATTAAATCATCATGTTATCTAAGAACTAAACCACTAAAACATACAGTAAGTCACTGCACTAAACAGTTGCATGTTACTACTTTTATTTTGACAGGATTCTTCCACCGGCGAAAGTGGGTGGCTTTGCATAAAATACAAAAAATAAAAAATAAAAAAACTTTAGTTTTGTTGCAAAATGTCTAGGAAAATAATGGCAACGATTTTCAAAGAAGTATTAGCTTGAGCTGTGGAGCAAGATGACAAGGAGCTTAACAAAAACAAGGTAGATGAGCAAAGTTGCAGAAAACTGCAGAAAACAAGGTAAAATGAGATTTGTTAAAGCGTGACAGAAACAGACTAAAATAGGCACAAAGGAAACATATTAGGTTTGTTTATTGGTAAACAAACCATTCATATTTGCACAATAGAAGGAAACATGAACTCTGTTCCCAGCACCATAAATGCACACAATAAAATGTAAGAAAATTCAATTACAAACTAAAACCATACCTTGTAACATGTACTATATATATAT